AATGAATGAAAAACAAACACTTACCTTTGTTGGACAAACAAGAAAAAAGCGAAAAAATACCAAATAAAACTAAATAAAAACTAAATAAAACTAAATAAAAACTGAATAAAAAACTTTGAATGTGTTGTTGATGTAGTTGATGTTGATGTTGATGTTGATGTTGATGTTGATGTTGTTGATGTTGATGTTAATAAACGAGTGAATAAAAATCAAGGACAATTTAGCATCAGAGAGAGAGAGCAACCCTTTTATATGTTTCCGTTTTCAATCGAAATTATTCATTTCATGCCTCGCTGAATAAAGTTGAAACATTTGTTCAGCAATGAGAAACGAAAAAATAATTATCTGACATTGAACAAAGTATTGCTAGTATCATTATCAGTTCGTTAATTGCATTCAGTAAAATTGCTACATTTGTGCAACGATCCATTATTTACATAGAATATGCTAACACGTACACTGTTAACCCTTTCGTTGATTATGCACCTTAAAATTGTTACATTTGTTAAGCCAAGAATAATTAAAACAATTAGCCAAACTTACTTTATTAGTGCAAAAGTATCATTATTCAACCCTTTTCCTTCAATTATCGAAGCATAAAAACTTTTATGTTCAAACTAATTGCAAACAATTAATCTTAAACTTGAACTTGGAATATTGTTTCATAAAGTTCGGAATAGTTCCGCATTAGTTAACATGGTCATTGAACTTAATTTAATGGTCAATTTTATTAATAAAATATCGATTAAAAGTGAGTTATCTTGTGTATGAGTTATCTTGTGTATCTGTACTACTACTCGAGTGTAATATTTATATTCATTTTTGGTCAACTGAACAACTAACACTTGAACATATCCGGACCATCAGCAACTATCCTTCATATTTCATTTCCGTTCCTTTCATTCCAATGGATTATTTTACCTTCTATTTACGCTGACCCAGAATCAGATTCATGGATGTTTGTCAAAAGAAAGGTTCACACTAGCATCGACAATATAAGTCGCTATACAAGCTTCAGGGAATGTTGGCGTCATTTGATAATGTTGACTCAACGACTACACCACCAGAGATCTGGTGCTTGAGCAAGGCATGATTACTAGTCAATAGCAACAAAAGACAAAAGCTTTTAAAAGCATCGTAAAAACTCGATTGCTACTGTTGAAGTCAGGCTTAAGGTTTGCGTCAAGATCACAGGCAAACTCATCTCGAGTCTACTGACAAGACTTTGTGTGACCGAGGACTCTGATGCTTTAGGTTATACTTTAGGACTACGTGAAGGGTTCACTGGTAACAACAAGATGATTGTAATTTTACTTACAGAGTAAAAGTAATAAGAAAAGGAGAGTTTACAGAATTTTTCATTTTTATCTTTTCGAGTTGAGGACTCAACTTTTTTACAAGAGTTGAAAGCGTTAGTTTGAACACAGTCTATTGTTAAGGATAACTTTAACGTCCAAAAATATGATCCTGTCAAGTGAATCCATGATAGTCATTTGTGATTCATATTAAACACGATCAATGGCATGATATGGTTGATCAAGTTCAATCACTTTTACCCGATTACTTGTCCAAGTAAAACCAACGAAACAATGGTGATAATATAATTTAACACTAACCTTTGAGCAATCAGAAGAAATGATTAAATAACAATCATAAATCTTGGTCAATATATTGACAGAATTGACCTTTAATATTATTCAACTGTTTCGTTCCATTATTTGTTTTCCCCTGAGTTTCAAGGCTGAAAGTCTGATGAATGAAGACGAGGTGGAAAAAGTTCATCTTCACATGAATAGTAAATCGTTTTTTTACTTCATTTTTACTTCTCAAATGATTGAATATAAAGTTGCATACCTGATTGATTGGAAAACTGATCAAAATAGATTTCCATGTAAAATGAAACTCATTCAAAAGCATGATTAATATAATCAATCTTGTTCTGTTTTAGGAAAAGAAAAGCTTTTTTCCAGAGAAAAAGAAACTTGAAAATTCTCATGAATAAGATAATTATCAAAATGGTTATAATAAACTGAGTTTTGATGAACAAAAAACACATTTGATTTGCATTCAATTGAACGATAAAAAGATGTTATCTTCATCTTCCCACTCAATTGACTGAAGATAAATCAATTTGTCTCTATTCCATGATCATTATCAATTGTTTCACATGCATTTGAATCATATTGAGTCAATAATTGAATAATAATTATTTTCAAATTGAAATGCTTTCAACGTTTCAGTTTCCACAATTGAACAATGACAATTGGAAATGAATTTTCTGAATTCTTGAGAGGAAAAAATTGTGAAAAAATTCTTTTCCATGAAATGACAAAATGAATTTAATCAGCTGTTAACATGAAAAATTGAACAAAAATTTATCTCCAGAACTTGGGATTACAGTTGGAATTGTTTTTCCATGCTGAGCAATTCATGGCAATCTGGTTTATTGAACTTTCTCAACTGTTGGCTTGAAAGTCGTGATTGAATGAAAGGTTTGAAAAACAAATGTTAACCCATTCATGTCATTGTTGGTCTTTTGGTAACAATAAGTTAATCAAAGTTGAACTTGTTAAGTTTTGTTGGACAGTTGTTATCATTTGAAACGTTTGAATGCTTAAACTGTGACTGCAAATCATTCTGATAAATCACAGGGTTTTATGACAAGTTGTCATTGATGCAAAAGGTTATGACAACAAAAAGTGAAACACAGCAACATTAAATGTACCGATTATTAGGTAATCAACTTGTAATTCAATTAATTTTGTCATCAAATCAGAGGTTCGTTCAATTCATCAAACATAATATGTTGACATTTTTCCTGAATATCAGGGTGTTCAGAATGGTTGACACTTGTGATTCTGTTAAGGATGGTTTTGTTTCCAATTTAATCAGTTTCATTCATCATTTGTATTTACCTTTATAATCTTGATCTTTTTTCACTCAACAGAAAACCTTTTACTGTTGATTAACTTTAATTAATTTACTCGCTTCCAACTTTGAGAACGTTCTTAGAATCAAATTAACTTTGGTCGTTGAATACATTTCACCTGTTTGCGAGCATTGCTCTGGAATTATTGAAGCTAGACTTTGATACTTGAACCATGCACTTGGACAGAATAGATTAGGTGCCAATGACGGAGAGCATCAAGACAAAATGTTGCCATCCATTAACGATGTTAGTGTCAAATGTGTAAGAGGTTAGATTATTATAAGAATTGCTTTCTGACGAACTCGATAGCCTCAGTTTCTGATGTCAGACAGAAGTTCATTCAAGGTGGTTATGCATAACATGGCGTTGAAAATATCCACGAGTTTCCAAACTTTACTCATCAAGCTTAAGCACTTAAACACTGATATCTTTACAATAGCATGATAGACGAATTTCATGTTGATAAAGTTTTTCAAGTTTTATAATTACATCTTAACTTGAAGGTCACATTATTTAAGCAAAATTAACTAAAGTTCTTTGTCTGCTTGAAACAGTTAAATCTTGGAAGAATTAATCTTCATGAATTCTTGATCTTGATGAAGGTGATTCACCTGCTAATGATGAGATGATAACCTTGATGGTTCCAGACTGGCAGCAGATGATTCAAATGATCAAAATGTGATACTGAGCCACCAATGGTTCATGTTTTGGATCAACATTTTGATCCCTTTGAATCTGATACTGATGATTAACCTGAAAATGATCATGATACTGAATGGTGAAAATGTTGGAATTACAATGTTTATTAGTTATCTTTTTGAAAACAAATCATGTTTCCAGTTGAAACAAGGGATAAAACCAATTGAAGCAAATGGGTTGATAATGAATGGCAAAAAGTTGTGTCTCCAAAGGGTAAATTCATATTGCTTTCGTTCAACCTTCAATAGCCTTTTCGACTTGCTTTCAATTCTGCTATCAGATGTTCTTTTGAATCATTTCATGGAAACATTTTTTTCTCTCTGTGCTTGACTTGTCCTTATAAATGCTATTGAATTTGCAAGTTCAATGGAGTGAAAGTTGATTTTGTTCATGCTTTAGTATCAAATATCAGTTTCATTATAAATGTTACATTGAGATTCTCAATATTTGTGCAAAAAAATGTATGATCATGATAAACATTGACTAAAGTTTTGTACTTTTTTTCATGCCCTGATGTGGCGAGCTTTTGCCTCATGGTTTGCCTTTTCATTGTTCATAACAATTGAATTGTTCGAGTCAACCAAATGATAAACAATCATTTTTGAAACATTCATCTTTTAATCATCATTCATTTTCATTTCCAATCCATTTGAATCCATCATCAGATGCCTTTCATCTGTGTTCAACTTCCTCTAACTCCCAGCAAAAACTCCCAGCATTATCATTCCCTTTTAAGGCTCACTTATCAGAGATGAAATTGTCCTCGACTTGAAATTGTCTTCAACTTTTCTTCTTCTTCTTCTTCTTTTCATCTTCTTTAGTCTTCAACTCATCATCTTGAAACTGGAGAAAAAAAAGTTTTGTTTCTTTGCTCTTTCAATGTTCATTATTTCATTCCCTTGATAATGATTGTTGTTGACTTTACAAAGGAAATGAAATATTGAATTGGCAAAATGTTGAGATACTTTTCACAGGAAATTTGAACCAATTTACATTTTCAAACATTTTCTGATTTCTCATCGAGACTTGTAATTTATTATCACACTGTCCAACAATCAACTCCCATCATATTCAACTGTCCAGTTAAGAGTGACCATTAGACGATAAACACTTTGGTCATGTCAAATTTGTCAATTGAAAAGAGAAAATCAGAGAAAAAATTTAAACTCCTTTTTATTTCATGCCATTAAAGTTGACAGTTAATGGCTGGTTAACGCTTTCATCAAATTCATTGTCAATCTCTAGTTGTCTTGTTATTTCAACTTTTTCATGGTTTAAATATTTTTTAATAACACTAATTAAACATTGAGTACATTTTTGAAGCAAATTTCAATTTTCATTTGATATTCAATTTTGTCAAATCATTTTCTAATTATCTTGTTTATCTACATTTTTTCATATCACAGAATCAGCATCCCTTCATCCGGTTGTCGTGTTTATTCATGGTGAATCATATGAATGGAATTCTGGTTCAGTTTATGATGGATCCATTTTATCATCTTTTGGAAATGTTATAGTTGTTACAATAAATTACCGTCTCGGTGTTTTAGGTAAGAAAAGAAAACTTCGTGAAAATTTAATTTCTAAAGGGCATTAACCATGAATAATGTCTTTCTCTTGCCATCTCAACTTCAAATCAACTTCAGTCTGATGAAAAAATGAGTGCTTGGACACTTGAATAGATGAAGTAACAAGTCGGCAAATGAATTGATCTTATCGATATTTATTTAATCAGTCCCATTAAACACTTGATATCAGAAAGGATGAAGACCAAAAGAATAGGGAAAATTGCCTGCTAATGCAATCTTTTTGGAATAAAATTTTCTAATGTATTTTCATGCATTGATTCCATAAATCTAATCTATTTTGTGCTCAGACTTGAACTTTCTGAGATTCAATTTTTAGTTAAAATTTCCGCATTCTATATTCGTAAAAGTTAGAAAGCTGAAACTTATTATTTGTCAATAAAAATTGTTAGTACACATCATGGACCGAATACTTTTTCCAATTTATCAACTGTTCTCATAATTTTGGCCATTGACTTAAAACTTCGAACATCAATATTTCGAGAATGGCATCACTTACCAAGGGTTAGGAAATTGTTGGTTATATACACTTTTCGTAACCCAATTTTTCGAATTCCCGACTCAACAAACCCTCTAAAACTTACTTTGACCCAATACGAACCTGATTTCACTGATCTTTAATTACTCACTCCCTTCCAGTTACGTAACTACGTTCTGAAATAACATCCTAACTAATCAATTTAGACACTATGAGGCTATGCTATCAAATGATACTCATTTGATAAGCATTGCATTGGTGTATGTACCGACCCAATAGGTGACCATTGGTATCTCCATAGAAGTGACCACTCAACTTTGATCGCTTATAACTCAGCTCAGAAACATCTAAGAGCCTATGTTATTTGGACATTATTAATGTACATTTAATACCCTATCGAATGGTATATTGCACGACCAGATCCGACAGACTTAGAAAATTCACTCATCCATAGGTCACTTCCGAATACTTCGAACCCTAATAACTCCTTAACCTTAAGAGCTAGTATACCACCTGCCATACTTTTATTTTCTTATCTTTTTATGCCCTTTCGAATGGTGTATCGATATCCAGAATCAGAAGAACTTTTTGCCCATGCTGGTTCCCATAGAGAGATGATTTTCTCTAAGCTCCTCCCCCCGAAAAATAGGTTTTTCGGGAATAACTTCTGAACCTCAACTTTGATTCCTGATTGCAGTACATCATTAAACAGCTTGTTTAAGGGCCTTTCTGGCCATATATCAATTGTCGAAATCGGTGGCCTACTCATAGGCCAGTTGCCGAAAAACCGATTTCGACGAAACCTCAATACAGCTCAGTTAGTATCATTTTGGGGTACCTACTGTAGGCCAAACCATAACAGATATAGCTTAATGCGATACATGGTTCGATAGCCCATATCCTGAAGTAGGTTAGTCTTCAATAAAACAACATCAAAACCCTAACCCTGACCTACAGTAACCGACCAACCAAAATTGACCTTAACATGGGATTTCCCATAGGGAAACCCAAACTTTTATAACTTTGCTTCTAAGCATCAGACAACATTCAAACCACTTTTAAAACACTTCTCACATCACTCTTAACCTGCCTAAACACAAAAAGAACAATAAAAATAACTTTAATAATTTTCGACTTTTTACATGAAACCCTATGGACAAAATATGCTGAACTCTTCAAATGATCCCAAACTAATTTCTTTGTATTAATTATAATTGTATTGTGTTCACTCAATGTAAAACACACTTTAAACATGCTCTGTAACGCGTATGAACTGTGTTCATCACGCGCATCCGATAACCCTACGAGGACTCATGGGTCAACACAAAATGGCTCCCTCAACGGACTTTATATTGTAATGTTTTCCTTTTCTTTCTTCAGTTGAAATAAACCATTTAAAACTTACTTTTAACCAGTCTTTTGATTTATTCTTGTTTTACCAACACTTTCTGCTTTCCTTGCTGGGTGCAAGAAGATTCGTAGTAATTTTGATATTTTGTGTTTCCACTTAATTTAGAAAGGTGTTTGAAGAACTCACATTGAGTTACAAGTTTGTTTGAATCTCTAGTTCAACTCAGTTTAACAACCAACTTAAAATTTCAATAAAACCAACAGGTTATGGGCCCAGCTCGCTTCATTTAAATTACGCTGTGTTTGCTCTCAACTAACTCTTTATCAACTTTAAAATTGTGTTAAGTGACCTAGTGAAATATCTTGTGAAAGGTTTACTTAGTTTAACCTAAAGTGTTAAAATTTAAAGCGTTCCTAATAAAATAAGTGATACCATTAGGATTACTATTGTGCATCTATTTTTCATCTTTAAAACATCAACAAGTATCTCCACAAAACTCATCTAGACACACCAACAACTTTAACAGTGCGAATTTGGAAATCTGCTCAAAATGGCTGGCAAAGACATATGCGTTGTAAAATTAACCGCCAACAACTACCTGCTCTGGAAGCAGTCACTCGAGGCCTTCTGCGAAGCAAAGAGCGTCTGGGATATTGTCACCGGAGAATCTGTACGACCGACACAGCCCGCTGAAGGAGAGAATGAAGAAGACTTGGCGACCGACATAGCAAATTGGAAACGTAATGACGCACGAGCCAGGAGCATCATAATGTCATCTATGTCTGAAGGTAACGAACACCTTGTTTTAAACAAAACTTCCGCTTTTGAAATGTATTCTAATATTGTTAACGCTAAAGAAAAACGCACCACGTCAAATGTTTGGCAAAATAGGCGTAAGCTAATAGATCTTAAGTTTACCTCAAGTCACAATATATCAAGCTATTTCAGTGAGCTTGAGACGTGTGTTAGGCAGTTAAATGATTTAGGAATTGTGACGGATGAAGGGCAACTCATTATCAAAATTCTAGATGATCTGCCTGGACAATATGAGACTTTTAGACAAACCATTGACATGCAAATTATTGCAGGAACCAATATTAATCTAAAAGATCTTAAAACAAGTTTACTATTAGCAGAGTCTCGTTTGAATGCAAATAAGAGAGAAAACAAAGGTGAAGCTCTTGTATCTCAAAATAATAATAAACCAAAACCTAGACATTTTGAAAAACGCTGTTGGGAGTGTAATGGTAAGGGTCACTCTCGCTCATCATGTAGGAAGTTTCTAGCAAATCAAAATAATTTCAGAAGTGCTAACAATAATAATAACAACCAGTTCAGTCAAAACTATCAAAACAACAATAACTTCAATCAGAACAATAATCACAATAGCTACAACAACAGGAACTTCAATAACAACCGAAATTTCAATAATAATAGAAACTTCAACAACAGAAATACTAATAATTACAACCAGCCCAGAAATAACAATTTTAACAATCGCAGCAACAACAACTTCAATAGACAATCTAACTTTAATAGAAACAGCCAGAATCCGAATTTCGCTAACAATGCTCAATTCCAGAACAATAACAATTACCAAAACAGTCAAAGTGAACCTCACTCATCTAATGCTAATAACAATTTCTCATTAACTGTCCGTTCAGACTCTAATAATCAATCACATTGGATATTAGATACTGGCGCATCATTCCATTTGACCGGTAATATTAAGAATTTTCAAAATCTTGAGGAATTGAATGCACCAATACCACTTGTTATTGGTGATGGTAAACAGATTGAAGGTATAGCCAAGGGCGATTGTTTAGTTGAATGCTTCAACGGATTAGAATGGGTTAAGGGGAAACTCACTGATGTGTTGTTTGTTCCAGACTTAGGAGACTTTAATCTTTTCTCATGGGGACAGTCGAAGAAGAAGGGATTTGGGTTGAGATCAGTTGGTAACTCAACGGAAATTTTTAATCCTCTAACAAACAAAACAATTGTTCAAGCTGAAGAAACTGGTAATACTTTTAAACTAGCTATGCGTGTATTAGAAAAAGAATGTCATGTAGCGTTGACTGCTAAAGCATACAATCTAATGGATTGGCATCGTAGATTAGCACATGTGAATGTTTTCAAAATAATGGAAATGAGTAAACAAGGGTTACTTCCACCAATTCAAAACGATACAAATTTAAGTGATTTCATTTGTGAAGGATGTATCAAAGGAAAAATGCATAAGCAACCATTTAAAGATAAACCTAAGCGTGTCTTTAATGTTGGCGAAGCTATGCATTGCGACTTACAAGGACCTATGGAGTGCAATTCATTGGGTCATTCTAATTTTGTGCTAGTTATTAAAGATGAAGCAAGTAGCTACAGGACCTTATTCTTTTTAAAACACAAATCAGACACATTAAACTCACTTACTATATACATTGGTTTTGTTGAAAACAAAACAGGGAATAAGGTTAAAGTCATGCGTAGCGATAATGGAGGTGAGTTTATTGATTACCGTGTTAAAGTGCTATTGAAAAATAAGAACATTGACCATGAACTTTCTGCTCCCTACACACCTGAGCAAAACGGTCTAATTGAAAGAGAAAATCGTACAATAGTTGAATTAGCAAGGTCAATGTTGCAAGATATGAATCTGCCCAAGTTTCTTTGGGCAGAGGCAATGCATACAGCAATGTATGTATTGAATATCATTCCAAACAAGCATAATAACAAGACTCCATGGGAACTTTGGTTCAGAAAGAAGCCTACTTATACACACTTAAGAGTGTTTGGAAGTCTTGTGTATGCCAAAGTTCCTGATGCAAACAGAAAGAAATGGGACGCGAAAGCCCGGAAATACATTTTCGTAGGTTACACAGCAACAACAGAGAATTACAAGATTTTTGATCCAAGGTCCAATTCAATATTCGTTACAAGAGAAATAAAGTTTATTGATAGTAATAACAATGTTCAAGAAGCTATTAAACAAGTACAAAACGAGCGTACGAAAGATTTGTTTAGTATGTGTGAAGATGAAGAAGTCAATGATAGTATTGAAATACCTAATGGAACTGAACAAACTGATGAACCAGATCAACCAGAAGAAGTTGTAAGTGATGAAATACAAGAAAAACA